TATTTTTTAACAATCATTTGTATTTCTGTGGGGTCTGTTGTTATTTCGCCTCTATTGTTTCTGATTTTGTTTATTTGGGTCCTCTCTCTTTGCTTCTTGGTGAGTCTGGCTAGGGGTTTGTCAATCTTGTTTATCCTTTCAAAGAACCAGCTCTTGGTTTCACTGCTAGCTCCGTTTTTTTAAACACTGGAACATTTGCATCAGGCTTTTAGTTTAGATTTATTTATTTATTTATTTTTAGCTCATACCTACACAGGAAGTATTGGGTAGGAATCCAGGTCTAGGCTAGGCAGTGACCTGACCCTGGTGGTCAGACATTCCGTACTCACTTCAGAGGTTGCTCTCAGAGAAATGGGAACAGCTAGTGATGATGTGACAGTGGGCAAGTTACATTAGATCTCAAAAAAAAAAAATTGGACCTCTAATTTTGATTTTGTTTCTCATCTGTAAAATGGGGATAATTATACATAATACCTTCATCTATACTATAGATCAGTGGTTCTCAACCTTCTGGCCCTTTAAATACAGTTCTTCATGTTGTGACCCAACCATAAAATTATTTTCGTTGCTACTTCATAACTGTAATGTTGCTACTGTTATGAATCGTAATGTTAATATCTGATATGCAGGATGGTCTTAGGCAACCTGTGAAAGGGTCGTTCGACCGCCAAAGGGGTCACGACCCACAGGTTGAGAACCGCTGCTGTAGTTCTATTGTTGTAAGGATTAACTGAGATAAGTTATGTGAAATACCTTGTAGAGTACCCGAGGCAGAATAGCAGCTGGAAAGTATGCCTAATTGTTTATAAATGGCAGCTGAAAGTTCTTTGATTTTGTGACTTGACTTTGGATTTGAGAAGAATGAAAGTAGATCACAGGTCCTGGGAGACCACTAGTGCCTTGTCTGGGACTTGTGATCTCACGTGTAACCAAATCCCCAGAGGGCATGAGGTTGGTGGCTGTAGGAGCAACCTGACTGGGAGAGTTAAAGACTTAGGGCTCTTTCTCTCAGACTGACTATCCCACTCAGCCAGAACACATGTTCCAAGCTGTGTTCTCTTTCTTTAGTTTAAATTAAAAAAATCTTTGGAAAGGACTTGAAGAGACCCCTAGCTGGGCTGGCTTTCTCACCTATGTGGTCAGGATGCCAGGTTTGGCTGCTCTCACTTGATCTTGATGTTGGAGTGGTGGAGGGCAGTTTTCAAAATGAAGAGATTGCTGCTTCTGGATAAAAAAAAAAAAAGAAAAAAGAAAAAAAAAGATTGTTGGGCAAATAAAAATGAGGTGTTCACCCAGCAGTGAAGTTCATGCTCTGAATAAGCCAAAGAAAAATCAATACAGATGAAGTATTATAGAATTGTCTGCCGGATACCTACGTAATTTTATTAACCAATGTCACCCCAGTAAAGTCAATAAAAGTTAAAAAAAGAAAGAAAAATCAGCCATGAGCCCCACCCTCAAGGATCTTGTTCTTTAATGAATAATGACCTATAGGGCGTGATAGTTTCTTTTCAAAGAACAGTTGCCTATGTTTCTTCTTTTCAAAGGGAGTTGAGCACATTGATCTTAAGGTGTTTTTTTTTTCAAGCTGGCATCAAATATTATTTGACCTTGGCTTAATATGGGGGAGGGGGGGGCTTATCAGGTTGTAAAAATGAAAATGTTTCATGAAAAATACTTGAAATAAGCTCAAGGCCACATCAACATTTAATGCGAACCTCCAAACATGAGCTATTTTTACATTCCTCTTTACTAGTATGATAAACTGTAGTATTTTCCCCCATGACTCAATACGGTGGGATATTTTCCCCCTTTGTTCAAATAGTTCTCAATCTGAATGTGACACAGAGTTCCCATTTCCCCCATAAATTACATATTTATAGCTCATGGGAATAACCGGAATGCTGCGTGTCTCTTAAAAGTACTTCTGTGTTTGAATTATAGAGAAAATGACTTAATAGGATTCTGAACTTTGGGTGTTCTAGATGTAGCTGGAACAGAGAGAACAGGACTCTGCGTCCTGGGCCTGGGTCCTCTGTGCTCTGAGCACCATCCTGGGAGCCTGCCCCCAACTGTGGGCTCTTCTGGCCTGAGGAGGAGGGGGCGGAAGGGCATGTGCATGGGGAGCAGCTAGTTCACCAGCAGAGGCAGTGTTGCAGTTGAGAATATAGGCTTTGACCTGTGCCGAGTGCAGCTCTGCCATCCACTAGGCTAAGCTTGGGATGGTTTCTGTTTCTCTGCTTCTTTTGTTTTTTTTCCTCTCTAATCTGGCATAATAGGAGTTATGTTTAGGGTTATGATTAGAATTGAATGAGGTTACACTCCAAAAGGCAGGGAATGAGTCACGGTAAGTGATGGTTATTGTGCCTGAGTTATAAAGCAGGAAGGACTAGGACAGTGGTCAGCAAACTGCGGCTTGAGAGCCACAGTTTGCCGACCACGGGGCCAGGGTGTCTTCTCTTCCTAGCACCCTTCTTCCCTTCTCCTTTACTTCTTTGGAAGCCTGGTGGCCACCTCCTAAGACCACTGAGCTCTCTGCTTAGGAGGAAG